CAAAGTGTGTGACGGCGAAGGTCCTTATCCTGAGCAGAGAAGAGACGCCAGGGGGACCATATAGTGAGGTAACTCTGGCTCTTTGTCGCCATTTCATTCGAGTATTATTTAAGGGTAACGGTTTGCTTGTGAATAATATTACTAGTATTGTTATTTCTGTTTTGGCCTGCTGTGTTTCATGTCCATATTTTTTCTTTCTTTCTGGAAATGTTCTTGCGTAAATTCAAATGCAAAATGCCAATACCGATGATATCTTATTGAAGTGCTGTATCAGAGTCTAACGTACACGCTCGTGTCCTTCGGGTCACTGTAAACTTCCATATATTTCACATGAAAAGGCACTCGTCTTTGATTTTTAATTTCTTCACAAATATGTTTTAAACGTATATAGCCAACATATATAGTGTGTGTATGTTTGTGTTTAAGCGATCGCCTCTTTTAAATGTGCGTCTACGATTACAGGTGTTTTTATGGTTGTATATGTGAAAAATGACAAATGATATATACGATTATCAAGCCTGTAACTAATTCCTTCTAACTACTATTTTCCATTCTGAAATATGCCAAAAATTAGATCACATTAGACTGGCAGCAATGGTCATAGCAGCTACAGAAAGGCACCATGTGGGCCAGGCAGGACACCTTCACTTTGACTTCGGACGTTAAATAAACCTTTGAGCTCTTGAAGACAAGTTTTAGGACGCTCTTACTCCTGGAAGATTGTCTCGAAATCATTTATGCGTAGATCATATGCTTGTTCGTGTGTGTGTTTGTATATGCAATGTTCAAAATCAAATCTTGTTCCTTTTCTCTCTCTCTCAATCTCCCCTCCCCTCTCTCTCTCTCTGTTTCTATCTGTTTCTCTCTGTTCTCTCTCTCTCTCTCTCTCTCTCTCTCTCTCTCTCTCTCTCTCTCTCTCTCTCTCTCTCTCTCTCTCTCTCTCTCTCTCCCTCTCTCGTCGGGTCTAAGCATCGCTAGTGCCTCTCACTGTTCACTGTTGGCCAGTAGGTAAGGCCATATATAACCGAAGAGGAATCCTTTTTATATTCATCGTGGTTACGGCCTGACAATGCCTATCGTGTAGCTGCTGTATTATGTAATCAAGTGGTTATGTAATGCTGGCGGGTGGCTATACTGTCCTGGAGGTACACCATGAGCCTTGAAGATTCAGATTTCTTAAGAGAGGCTCTGAGATCTTACCCTTATAGTGTACTTCCGTGTTCGCTATTCTGTGTTGATACTTGGTAAGATGAAACAGTTGATTGTATCTTGTGTGTGATTATGCGCACGCATGTGTGGACACACACAATAATCAGTGCAATGGAGTGATTCATCATATAGGAAAACAATCCGCAAGGAGAACAGTAATGTGTACAAGAAAATACAAGATGCGAAACCATTTATATATATATATATATATATATATATATATATATATATATATATATATATATATATATATATATATATATATATATATAACGTGAAAAAAATCGCTCTAAAATCCATGAAAAAGTTATGATCGGAAGCAGATCGAATACTAGTTACTAAAACAAGACATAGAAATGATTAAACGTTGTGGAAGTTTACTGATCATCAGTATGACTTACTGAATCCCAATTCATATATGTATACATATATATATATATACATATATATATATATATATATATATATATATATACATATATATATATATATATATATATATATATATATATATATATATACATATATATATATATATATATATATATATATATATATATATATATATACATATATATATATATATATATATATATATATATATATATATATATATATATATATATATATATATATATATATATAAGCGTTTAAAACCAATATGCGTCAAATCAAAGTTTTGCAAGACGTGATAACCCCCAATGAGATCTTTAAAATGATTTGGACATGAAGCCGTATCATTTGCAGTGGTCCACCGGCCATTATAAATGATCCGGCTTTCCTGTTCTTCGGCAAATGGAAGGAAGCTATTAATGCATAAATAGAATAGTCACTCCTTCCTCTGAATCATTTCTTATCTCCCCCCCCCCCCAGCTCAAAGAGGCGAGACCAACCTCTGTAGACCTTGAGCGAGACCTTCTTATTTCGACGTTGCTTTTGCTTTAAAATTTGCGAGAAAAAAAAGTTTGTATTATGTGACGTGGCGAATAAATAGTAGAATCTGCGACAGGAATTAGTAGGCGTTGCGTCTCGTAAGGCTGACTTATGGAGAAAATACATGCGTTCGTTATTATCTCCTCTCATTTTTTAAAAATTTAGTTGGCAAATGAGAAGCAGAGCAGCGAAATGCGCATGTTTACACACACACGCAATTGAAATAACTTTACAAACTTACCACAGTTAGTCTTCGGAAACAAATCGGGAAATCTGCGAAATGATCGTAATATCCTTCCCTCTTCCCTCCTTCCTACCCCCTCCCCCCATTCGCCTAGTCTCAAAGTCGATCCTTCCTCGGCCATGTCACACTTACTCTTTTCTTTCAATTTTTGCGTTCCCACATGCGAATGGTCTGACCCTGTCATGCTGGCAGGGTTAGTAAATGTGAACAGACATAGGGTCATACGAGTCAGGTTTCTCATGTGTCACATTATTACTACAGATTTATATAAGTAAAAAAAAAATATATATTGTAAATTAAAGTATTACACAATATTGAGTTATATCCATACGAACTTCTTTTATTCAATGTATGAATTAAAAAAAGATGTAGTAGTATACTACTACATCTTTTTTTAGATGTAGATGATTTTTAGATGATTTTTAGATCCCTCTCCGTCGCACAAGATCAAGGCGCAAATTATTCTCAGACGAAAACAGTCGCTATCGTCTTCGTCCTGGAGGCGTTCCGCTTGCATGCGACGCCCGCGGGGAGCCTCACTTTCATGGAGAAACGCCAAATCTGACGGTAAAAGTGCAAGTGTAGTGGGGCCTATCAAACAAGCACTTTTATCGTCCGTTTTTAGTATTTCCATTTGAAATTTAGGCTTTCCGCGTGTTTATCATGCTTGTTTTTCATGGATAAATTAAATAAAAGATGTTCATGTAAACATAGTCTAATATTCAACAATATTTTCATTTACAATATTGTTGTCAATTATATCTATTTGAAATAACAATTCATGAGAATGCATGTTGATTCCCAAGACCTGACTCGTTTGGTAGTAGTGGTAGGCTTACTCTGCCAGTGTGATGGGGTCAGACCATTTGCATGTGGAGAGTTGTTTTGGAAACGCAAACATTGACGGAAACAAAGCGACCATAGTTGGTGTTTCGTGCATCTGTCGTTCGCCAAATCCGATGAGGGAAGGTTGTAGGCATCACCACAACAGCGCAAAACACGTCATATTTTACAAAGGGGAGATTAAAAGCTACATTAGAGATTTATAGCAGAAGTAAAAAAAAGAAAACAAACACTTATTTTTGTTGATGCTAAAATCCGTCACACACACACGTACACACATCAACACACACCAAAACACACGTACACACATCAACACACACCAAAACACACGTACCCCGTAAAACACACACTCTTCCCAATCTAACATTTCTCAAAACACACAAAAAGTTCGATCATCACAAAAGAAAGAAAAAGATAAGAAAAAAAAAAATCCCAACCTAAAAAAGAAAAAGAAAACAGAACGATTATTCATCCCTAATATCAGCATGACAGGACACGCGAAGCAAGCAAGCAAGCAAGCAAGCGTCCGTCCTTGAACTGTGATCGCCGGCCAGAAAGCAATCGATCGGAGAAACAAATGAAACTCACCTCACGTCAGAAATTATACCTGCGCGCGGCTGGATGTCGGGCACGAAAGAATAAATTTGAGAATAAACGTATCTCGGAAGAGAGAAAGATGAATAGTTCCCGCACGCAAGGGGAATTAGGTGAATGAAGGATGATTGAGCATTTGGAGACAGAAATAGGTAACTGAGCGAATAGGTAAGTGAAAAAATATATGAATAAATGACTAGATATATAAACAGGAATATAAATACATGAATAGATTTTTAAAATGAATAAAAATCTGAACAATAAATAAGTTACTGAGCAATTAATAAATTAGTTAACAATGAGTAGGTGAGTGAAACAATAACTAATTAATGCATAGCGAATAAATATGTAAAAGTGATTAAATAAATAAATGAAAATTAAGCAAAGAGATAGACTGAATGAATAAAATGGATAGATAAAAAGAAGAATAGACAGTAACAGAAAATTTGATGATTAAAAGAACAATGGATATTAGTTAAAGAAAGGAAAGAGAGAGACATACAGAAAAAAGTAATCAATCGAACGAGACTTTAGAAAAAAGTTAAAAGAAAACGAAGGAATAGACGTTTGCAAAAAAAAAGAAAGAAAAAAAACCATATCGAAGCGCGGGCGAAAGAAAGACAGAAAGAATAAGAATTTTGAAAGAATTAAACAATAGAACTAGAAACGAGCATTTTGAAAGAAAAAAAAATCGGAAGAGGAATAAGAAATTAAGAGAAGAATGAGAAAAAGAAATAACCGATAAGGAAAGGAAGAAGAAACAAATAAACGGGAGAAACATGGCATAAGCGACGCCAATGACGCACGAATTCGAACGTAAGAAGGAAGTCGCAGCGCAAAAAAATAACACATTAGTATAGTTATTATTCATATCACGTAAAAAGCATTCGACTTCCTTAAACGAAGCTCAGTGACTAAGCAGAAATGAAAATAATCTAAACTAGACGTTTTCTTTTACAGTTGAAACAGATTTTGATTCGACGCAGAATATAATCGTCCTAAAGCCTGGGATTCTACAATGGCGATTAAAGACTTCGATGACATTTTCGTCCATATCGGGGGATTCGGACGATACCAAATGGTAAGTATGTATGTGTATGTTTAGAGAGAGAGAGAGAGAGAGAGAGAGAGAGAGAGAGAGAGAGAGAGAGAGAGAGAGAGAGAGAGAGAGAGAGAG